GCGGCGGGAGAAGTAGCGCTAGAGCCAAAGAACGTGTGTCTGCGCTCTCGTGGTCATGGAGGCGCCGGGGCTGCCGCCAGCCGCGAAGACTCCAGCCCCCAGCCGGAGCCTCCGGCTGCTGCTGCTGCCACTACTGCTGTTCCTGCTGCTGGCCCAGACTCTGCGGGGCTTGGAGGCAGAGGAGAGGCCCCGAACCCGTGAGGAGGAGTGCCACTTCTACGCGGGGGGACAAGTGTACCCGGGGGAGGCGTCCCGAGTTTCGGCCGCCGACCACTCCCTGCACCTCAGCAAAGCCAAGAGTAGGTGGTGCCCCGCAAAGTGGGGTTGACCGGTGGCTGAGGGAGGCGGGAAGTTGGGAGGACCACGGGACACGTGTGCCCTGCTTAGGCTACCTGGGAGCCTGACTTGGGCGGCGCCCCCTGTCCTGCCTCCGGTCCCTGGGCGGGCCTGGCTCTTTCATAGCGGGGCAAGGGAGGAGGGTTCCTGCTTTGAGAAAGGGATTGTTTCCACTTATCAGATTTTGTAAGTAGTGGTTACCCCAAAAGCCGCAGACAAAGGAACGGGGGTGGTCCAGGTCCCCTTGCAGGCATTGGAGGATGTTGTGCAAACTGAAACACTTCCTCAAACATTGCAAAGTGGCTGCAGCATGTCGGTCTGTTTCCAAGTACTATTCCAGGGAAGAATAGGTTAAGTTGAATAATGATTCATAGAAAGTTTGATTAAACAAAAAAGTGGCTAAACAAAATGTTCAGGAGAGCAAACATTTCACCTTTCTCTTTTTTCCTTTTGTTTTCATCTTATAAAGACTATTAAAAGCCCTTCCCCAAAGCATACATAATAAATGGGTATTCTTTGTGTCTCTTAGAAATGAAGAACTTCTTACAGGGTGTATTTTGAAGGCTCTTTGTAGGGAAAGGAAGAAAAAGGTTCAAAGTAATTTATTTTGGTTGATGATAAACCTCATGGCAAATTTGTGTCCTGCCAGTTTGGCTTTTGATTATTTGCATTTCTGTCCAGTGTACACAGGTAATGGCCACTTTCAGGAAGGACACGTCAGACTGAGACACTGAGAAAGTTATGGCCTGCTGCATCTAAATGTTAAGATTAGCCAAAAAAAAACTGAGCAGGAATTAAAGGATAAAGACTGTCCCTTGCTTGCTTTAAGTAACCTGTTTTTCTTACAGATCACTTAGCATTCTGAAGATGTGTATTGTGGTTCAATTACACCATGTTCTATGCCCATATTCAGTGAAAAAAGTATGCTTCACAGTTATGAATCCTCAGTGTTAAGTGGGATGTTACGACTTAGGATGGAGTGGGAGTAATAAATAAGAAAAACTGTTTTGCCTTCTTAAACATGTGCAGTTCTTTCCTACTGAAAGTTAACTACTTTTGGATATTTTGTTTTTAAGAAACCAGTCTCACGCTTTTATTTTTTAAACAACATGTGTTTATTATTTCACAGGAGGCCTTAGCTGGGTTCTCTGCTCAGGGTCTTATAACACTGTAGTCCAGATGTTGGCTGGGCTGCATTCCTTTCTGGAGCTCAGCATCCTCTTCCCAATTCACATGGTGGTGGGCAGAATTCAGTTCCTTGAGGTTAAGGACAG